AACTCGAAATCGATATGGAAACTGAATCATTTTTTATTTCTCAGGAGCTGGATACTACAGAAATATTGCAGTGGAAAATCACACTTCTGATTAAAATATGAAGTACTTATGGTTGTGTTTTCACCATCGCCAGAAAGACGCAGCGGGTCGTCTCGAACGACCCTTTGCGATCGGCGAGGGGTCTGTGACCCCCCGAGACCCCCCATGGGTTTAATAACTGATTATGGTAATATATTAAGTCTGGGTAACTTTTCATTGTATTTTGTAACAATTTTTATCAAACAGCCGTAATTCTGCCAATTTATTTTCTTATTGCGCTAAAATATTCTATATATGTATATGATATGTTTACGTAACCTTAAAAATAAATGCTATAATTTATAATGAGAGTTTATTGTATGCCTATAAAATTAAAAAAAAATCATGCCACAAGAAAAATTTTGAGATCATTTGTTTTATGAAATACTGCTCTTAATAAATCCGAAACTTCGCCAATACATCGGCACTCGTAATAAGAGCTAAAAAAACACTTCAAATCAACAAGAAAGATGTTTTTAAATAAAACTTACCCGATCTTCATAAAATCCACCATCCTCTTCCAATGTCTTAAAAAGATTTCTGCACGTTTCGTTCTTAGAAACAACACTACCTGGAAATTTAGCTGTTGTTATAAACTTTGTGTGCGTGTCCTGAAGCACACATGCCATACTGTCCAATCTGACATTCAAGTTTGGTCAACATGAAATAAAGGTTAATATTGTCATTGCATACTTGACTTCTATGCTTTTCTAGCTAATAACTGCTACGCTATATAACTTTTCTACAGGTGCATTTTACGTACTTGAGTGCAAACCTAATCATATCTTCGCAGCAGGGGGATATTGTATATTTTCGGTTGTTATTCTCCTGGTATACGTCGCCCATTAGATATCCAGAGTCGTATGGACATGCCGTTGAACCTGGTGACCCTGGCAGGATGTCGGACACTTCTTCTCCATCGTGAGGACAACCAAGCCTGTGCATTAAAATACTGTTTTAAATCAAAAATTCAATCCTGCACAATTGTCATGGAAAAAATATTCTAGGTTCTAGTGATAACGTGAAACTGTTTATATGAGGACCATCGTGTAACTTAAGAAATGTCGTGTTCGCGGCATTTATCTACGTGTACGTATTCTTCATTTGGCACAAATACAGATGAAACAAAAATGAAACAAATGGAAACATGGGCGTAGACCTCCACGTAGCACCGAGTTCTGGGCCAAAACTTGGCTTTTGTCTGGGAGTTTAGGCACCCGAAGAAGCCAAAGTAGAGCCAAACCTGACCTCCCTTGGCAGCAGTCTGGGTATTTTGGCCCTAATTCGCCAAACTTAGGCTTCACTTTTTGATAGTTCGGCTGTCATTCGGCACCTTCGGGCCAAGATCGCCACAGATGTGCCAGAGTTAGGCTTACTGCCTTGTAGTTCGGTTGACATCTGGCATCTTTGGGCCCAAGTCGCCAAACGAGTGCCAGAGTTAGGCTTAGCTTCCCAATAGTTCGGCTGTCATCTGGCAGCTACGGGCCAAAGTTGCCAAACAAGTGCCAGAGCTAGGCTTACTGCCTTAAAGTTCGGCTGATGAGGTATTTGATGTACGCGGGGGGTCTTCACCTTAATTAAATAGAAATCAAGTTTTATTCGGCTGGCCAGTTTATCTTATTTTGGGTGTCTCTTGATTTCTCTAGTACAAAGGTTGGCTGAATGTTTGGACGCGGCTGGACCAGGCTTTGCAAACGCAAATTGTGCCGGATGTTGTACTCGCGCGTAGGTGCACAAGTCAATATCGGGACGCGCCGTGAGACTGGTTCTACATTAAGGCGCGTTCCCGCCGGCGATGCGATCTAGTCGCGCAATAACTTTCATCGCAAAAGCGACCATCGCGGGCAAAGAGCGACGCGATTTGAGCAGTCGCTTGCTGAGCCGACTTTTTACGATGCAATCTAGTCGCGGAGAGGCTGAGCCAATCAATGGCGTTCGGAGCAAGAGTTTTTGAGAAGCGACTCGCCAACGAAGGCGTTGGACTCGCTCATCGCGCACGCCAGAGTGACCATCTAATTACTTTTTTTTTTTGCGATGCGCATCGCGCGACTGCAAACAACCCCGGTGTGACTGCGCCTTTACAGAAGGTGCTGCCATCGTGCTAGCGGCGCATTGCAAAAGCGGCCATTGCTCTGTATGTGTCTTGCATTGTGATTGAACACCGACAAATCCTAGCGATAACAAAGAGCGGAAACGACCGGGGCTCCGTGTCGCGGCTTCCGCATCACACTTGGGGAATTAAAATGAAATCCCGGAACTTGTACTATTTTAGCGTGTTGGTACTTTTTAACATTTAGAAAGTGGAGACAGAAAAGGGACGATACAGACAGGACAGTCTTTCAACTTCAACAACATTTCGTTTCGGCTTCAAGCTCAAAGCCCGCCCGCTTTGTTGAAGTACGGGAAAGAAAAATCTTGGGGGAAGGAGAGGACGCGGAGGAAGTGTACGCGATTCCCCTGTCCTGCGGGGCCAGGTACATCGGGCAAACGGGGCGATGCCTCAACGACCGACTCCGAGAACATCAAATGGACGCCGAAAGAGCTGCTTCGGATTCTCAGCACCCGATCGTCATTCACGGGAGAAAATGTCCCGGCTGCGCTCCTAATTTCGCCGGCACGACAGCCGTGGGAGGCCACTGCGAGCGAGTCGGGAGCGGATGGCGACAATCCCGCAAGACATAAGCACCCCTTCCATTTCGCTCTCAAGAAAAAAGATTATCTTTCTGAGGCTCACAATGCAAGCCGAACGCTGACAGACTAGGAAAGGCGACAAGGTCATTGGCAAAAGCGGCCTTTCCTCTCATGCGTTGTTGATGCCCCTTCGACCTCGCCTTTTGCAAATCCTCCCCACCTGCCTTTGTGTCTTCGTGTGGCTGTCAGCGAGCGCGACAATCGCTTTAAGCAATTGTCTTAAAAAAGCAAAAGGATCTTGGAGCAAGACGGGGTCCTGACACGCTCAGTCAACCAACTGGCAGAGAGAGGAAGGCTCTGGCTTTTATAGCGGACGCCTCCTCTCCCCCCTCCGACATGCCCCCAGCCAATCCCGTAAGGGAATGGGCGGAAAAGAAGTGCGGAAGGCGTGAGGGCATGTCGGCGGGGTTCTGCTCAGTGGGGAGCCATTTTGCTCGAAGATCTCTTTTTATTACGAGAGCGGTGATGGCTACAGTCAGTTGCCAGGGCAATGCACGGAGGTGGCCATTCGTGATGGCGCATCTGAGGGCTTGGTTGTCGGTGAAGATGACGGTGGATCGCGGTACGAGGAGGGCCGCGATGGTCCAGGCAAGGGCTTCCCGGAGGTAGATGCGAGGGTCGTGGCTGGTCAGGATGGCGAGCGCTGAAGTCGGGGTCACCACGCCCAGTCCATTGTTCGACGCGTCCGCAAAAGAAAAGTTCACTGGCGGGGTCGGAACTAGCGGCAGGGTATGGGGAAGGCTGCGCCACAGTTCGCCGAACACGAGGAGCCACTGGGGGGGGGGGGGGGGGGGTGGTTGGTCTGCGTACTGTTAAAAAGGGGGCGGAGTGCACTGTATCCTGACCGATATAAAGAGAAATAAAACGCCCATAGTCCGGCAAGGCGGCGGTACTGTGCCGGCGAACAAGGTTTGGCCAGCATGGGCAGTGTGGCAGCAAGGGACTGAATCCGTTGTGTTGTGTGACCGATAGTAGAGGTTACGGTGTCGAGCTGGAACCCAAGGAACTTAATTGTGGTGGAAGGAGAGAGGCATGTGTCCTTAGGGTTTATACGAAAACCGCAGTCGACTAACTGCTGGACAAAAAGACGGGTGTGCTGTGCAAGGAACGAGGGATCTGGGTGGGCAAGAAGAAAATTGTCGATGTAAGCCCATGCCCAGATCCCGCGTGAACGAAGGGTTCTGGCAAAAGCCGTCGCTAGGGACTGCATAATGAAAGGTGCGGGACGGAGCCCGAAAGGAAGTCTTGGAAAAGAAAAATACTGTCCGTCAAGTCGAAAAGTCGTGAGCCTCTGGGCTGAGGGGTGAAGCGTCACGTGGTAAAAGGCCTCCGCCAGGTCCACCTTAGTAAAATATGCATGTGGTGGAAGGGGGACCTGGAGGAGGACTTTAGGGAGGGGGTCAAGACGAAAAGGGGGGGCCGCTAGATGCGGGGTCAAGTGGCTGGCGTCGAGGATGAACCTCGACTCTGTACTAGACTTGGGTGCCAGCTGGATGGGGCTCAAGTAAGGTCCCCTGCGGGTTCTCTGGATAAGGCCGGAAGCGGCCATTGACGCGACTGCAGCGCGTAGGATGGGCAACTGGTCGGCCGGAGGGGGCCGATTGTTAACAACAGAGGTAGCGGCACAACGGACGCGCAAGTTGCCATAATCCGCCGGTGGATAAAATCCAAAAGTGTGGGCGGTGAGGTCCCAGTTAACATTGGGGGGGGGGGGGGGGGGAGCGCTAGTTCGGACGGGTTGCCATGGGGGGCCTGGGAGGATAGGAAGACGAGAATCCTCTTCTGGTGACTCATCGTCCCCCTGCGAGGGCTCATCAGAGTCGTTGTCTCGCAGCCATCGTAAGATGCGATCGGCCGCGAGGACCCAGGTGTCCTCCTCCTCCGTCTCCGAAGAGGAGAGGGAGGAGGAGGACGGGGAGTGGTCCGAGAGGGACGGTTCAAGAGAAGGAGAGGGAGGTTGCACATGCAACGGAAGCGGTATGTCGGCAGCCTTTAGGGCCTGAAGGAGTAGGTCAGGGGGGTCTATCACATCCTGAACTACGGCCACTATGGGTTGGCCGGCTATGGTGACTAGTACTGGTTGGGGGTCATGCAGCACTAAGTCCAATGGTTCTATGAGTTCATGGGCAAGGGGTGAAGGCAGGTCTGGACTCACCACTGTAGGTGGCGGGGTGTCGGGGAGATGGGCGTAGTCTCTGGTGTCCCACATGGGAAGACGATGGAGCAGGTGCTCAGGGGGGGTGCAGTGGTCCGTCGCAACGGGGGGAAGAGTTCACTGCACGGCGCTGGAGGCGTCGTTGTTTTACTCTGCGGCGTCGGGGACGTCGCGAGTGCGGTTGGCGGGCTGTCTTGGTCGGCCGCCGCGGTTGGCGGCGCCTCGGCCTCGGGTGGGCTGCCTGGAGGGCCTGTCGGATGCTGGAGGGGGGGGCCTGTGGAGTGGGGAGCGGCGCTCCCAGAAGGTAGGAGGCGGTAGGGTCGGCGTAGCCTTGGAGGGCCGCTTGCCAGCCGGTGAGGGCCACGTGATACAGGAGGCGGACCCTGTCGAACACACGTAGCTTGGCGGAAGGTCGGAGGGGGGGATCTGAATCCCAGACGTGAAGGAAGAGCTCGAGCGTCTGTAGCTCAACGACGTCACAGGTCCCGAAAAATCGGGACTGTCGGCTCGCTCGGTCGACGTAGAGTAAGGCGTTTCTGAAGTCCCGACGGGTCGGGGGGTCACGGGTTGTGAAGAGCCTCTGGCCTCTACTTCCAGTAGGGGCACGAGAAGGGTTGACGTGGCGAGGGTAGCGGGGGTCCCGGCGGGGCGGGGAGTCGCCACTGCTACTTGAACTGTGATCCGAGTCATCGGGGATTCGGGCGCGGTAGCGTCCGACTGGATCCTGGCTTGAGGGGTAGCCATGGAAGATGAGGTCCTCCTCATCATCGTCAGTCGTGGCGTCGGGGATGGGCTGCGCCATCTGGGTGACACGAGCACGTCGGGCTGGCGGGTCCGGGAAGGCAGCCCGAAGGGCGAGGGTGAGCGCTGAAACGAGCTCCTGTGCTGCCGGCGCTGCAGCGCCGGAGGGCCCGGCGGCCAGCGGACCGGACGGTGGGGCAGGTACGGAGCCGAAGGGGACGCGGCTCGTAGGACCAGGCGGCGTAGTTGCCGGCAAAGGGCTTCCATCGTTGGGTGCGCCGGTACGGGAGGTTGGTGGGCGGGCGGACTGAGATCTCAAAGACCTCTCGTTCTTGCGGGGGGGCATCGGCGGCTTCCGCGCGTGCTCTTGTGGTCTCGATACCCCGGAAACCTGGATCTTGGAGCAAGACGGGGTCCTGACACGCTCAGTCAACAAACACCGTATCGCCTGGCCCGCTTCGGGCTACGTTCGCCAGAGTATGCAATATGCGACCGGTGTAGTTCGACTTCTACATCGCCACCTCAAGCCAGTCAAACCGCCGGGCTAATCCCCGATACTTCCATTAACACCCAGTCTTCAGCGCATCTCGCCACCCTACGCCACCTGCTCTGGGAGTGCCCGGCAAGGCGAAAGGAAAGGGACATAGCACTCGCGCAGCTCGGTCCACCGCCAGGAATGACGTTCGAGGCCTGGACGGCACCGACAGGCCCCACAGACGTCAAGAGGCGCGTCTTCAACTCACTCTTGGCTTACGTGAGGACGGCCGGTCTGGCCAGCCTTCTGTAAGCCCTCTCCCCCTCCCGCCCTCGCACCCCCTCTCCCATTCCTGCATCCTTATTCCCTTCCCCTTCACGACAAGGCATGAAACCGGTCGCGTCGTACCCCTTCTAAATATGAATAAAACGTATCCAACAACAACAACTTTAAGCAAATCAAAAGGGTGGAGCGAAACGCGTGACCCGGCGTGACCTCTCTACGTAGGGCGCGTAGGACAAAAACGTTTGGACGAAAATTTGTCATGTGACTCTCCCTGTCACGTTGATGGGATCTCTGTGGCTGCCGTTTTCGCCGTTTGCCTAGTTATAGAAATAGGCGGGGAACGTAGGTCTGGTTTTCGAAATGCGCTCTTCAGTATTCTGTTGCTTTCGTGCGTTGCAGACGCGGCCGTGTTTTTTTCGTCGTAAACCGCCGGAATACGTCAATGCCAATTTTTTGGTAACAGCCATTTTTTTCACCGGAGTTCGTGGAATTCTTGTGATGTGTTTGTTGGACACGCTTCGACAAAAACTGCTCTTCGCCGACAACGAGACGTCAGTTGAATGTGCGCAACCTTCTTTCTCGAGTGTGTTTGTGGGGTGCCGTGAGTTGGATTATACATCTATTAAGGATTACATGATATCGCTTTTTTATTAGTAAGTAGACTGCAAGCATGCTTCTGATAGTAGTCCTGCTTTCCTCTCAATCTCTTTGTGTGATGAGCTTTGCTTGGCATGAGGACAGTGTTAATTCTATTTTATAATTTGCTTTTCGTTTTGCAGAGAAGTGTGACCATTGTAAATATGTCGAGAATACACTGTGTGTAATGATAGTGGTTTAATAAACTCCTGGGAGCGATTGAAAAAATTTTGTTTGTCCGTATATGTGATTGGATATGCAACAAATGATATGCAACGTACACATACTTGCACGACATTCGGCCAATACGGAGCAGACGCATCGTAGAGTTTTCGCACAATATTGCGCGAACGCTAGGCCGGGGCAAAACAGCTGTACGGCAATACCGGCCGGATATCAAACGGTGGTGCAAACTGGACATTTGAGCGATATTGGAACCGACTTTCGGCCGGTACTGGCACGATACCGCAAAGTATTGCCGTGCTGCTTGGGAACGGAAGTGATGAAATCTAACCATCGTGTTCCCAGTGCTTATTTAGTTTAATTCTTTTCTGGGGCGCGTGAAAGAGCACTTCTGTGACACACCAGAGATATTCGAAACTTGGGCAGGCCTCTCGGCTTTCTTTGCCACTTTTGGCACTTATTTTGCACTTCAGTGGGTAGCCAGAGAAGAGCCAAACTTCGGCATGGCCCGAATCGCCAAATTAAGATTTATTGCGGCAGTTATGGCTCAAGTCTGGCACTTACTTTGGCAGAACTGTGGCGCACCAGACAAAGGCCAAACTTGGTGTGGCCAAAATACCCAAATTAGGCATTGCTCTGGCAGTTAGGGTTCAAGTCTGGCACTTACTTTGGCAGAACTGTGGCGGAGCAGAGAAAGGCCAAACTTCGCATGTCCGAAATACCCAAACTAAGCGTTGCTTTAGCGGTTATGGCTCACGTCTGGCACTTACTTTGGCACAGCTGTGGCGGGCCAGAGAAAAGCCAAACTTGGTGTGACCGAAATTCCCAAATTAGGCGTTGCTCTGGCAGTTATGGTTCAAGTCTGGCACTTACTTTGGCAGAACTGTGGCGGACCAGAGAAAGGCCAAACTTGGCATGTCCGAAATACCCAAATTCGCCGTTGTTTTGGCAGTTATGGCCCAGGTATGGCACCAACTTTGGAGCTCCTCTGGCGTTCCAAAGAAGAGCCAAACTTTGGCATGCCCTAGGATCGCCCAACTACGGCTACAGTTAGGCACCGTACTTTGGCACTGATGATTGCCATGGTGCAAAATCCTAACTGCGCCAAAGTTGTGCCCTTATGTTTGCCAGACCTTTGCCCAAGTGGGGCATTCCTCTGGCGTGCTACCTGGTTTAATAAATTAGAATTTAGGGGGAGAGTGTGCGCTTTTGACGCCCGAATTACGAACCACTAGGTTGCGACAAAAGAGGGAGGAATAGCGGCAGACGAAAAGGAAAACAGCTCGTAGACAGCGTCACACATGTGTCATAAGGCGAACCACCCCTCCTTTTGTTTTGTATCAAAAAAAAAAAAAAACTCATTTTCCCGTGGGAGTATGAGGGTGCGCTGAGGGACTGGGAAAGAAAGGTACGTCTTAATGGGATTAAGTTATTCAAGAAAAAAAAACAAAAACATACGATTTCTTTTACAAAAAAAAAAAAATAAATAAATAAAGAGTTTCGGTAAGTAATTCTGGATCTCTGAAGAGCGTCACAATGCCTTTTAATATTTTTTTGTCTTGTACGGTGTCTCTTCAATTTCAGCGGCCTGTTCTCCTGTCGAAGGTGTAGGCTTTTCCCTTGTATGGCACAAATGATCTATGGCACAGATGATTGTCTAAACGCACTATATAGGTGTTCCAATGAATTCGATAAGAAGCATTTTGCTACTTTTGAATTACTTTATGCAAACGTTTAGACGAATTAAAAGATATGTATATACATATCCAGCCGTTCTTATAAAATTATAAAAAGCAATGCAGATTGTGTAAGTGTTTCAATGGCTAGACTAGTACACATATCTATTTTATGTACCCTCAACTTCCTTTTTTATAATATATTTTACATTCGGAAATCATATAAAATATTTTACAAGCGATATTTCGTACGCTCGTAAAATTGTTACTGTCATGAAATAGTATTTTGCCAGGCAACAAACTAAACGATTTTCTTGACATATCCGGCTTTTTTAAAAAGGAGGCAGTCACGAAGTCAAATAACTGTCACAGTAACAAATATGTATTTGTGATTCCAGTAAGCCTGGCAGCATATGTAGAAACTTCCTTATTCCCGTAATCACTGGAGTGATTACGGGAATAACGGCTTTCGTGAGCCAATAAAGACTATCATTATCATTATCATTATAATGTGAGAAACCGGACGAGAAATATTGCCGCGCTCAAGGCCGAGCAAACAACCCTCGGTCTCGGAATTCTAGAAGATTCCCGTTTATTCTTACTCGGGGCGTAACTTTTATCATTTCGTCTGTTTCTTGTTCTAGAAAGTGCCTGCTCATTCTCTCTCCGAGCCCGAGACGCCCGAAGCTTCTTTGCCGAACATTTCAGATGCTAACACACTCGTGATAAGGAGCGGCCCGCGACCTTGTCGAGTCAGTCTCGCTCTCGCTGGCTGTTACGCCGCCAAATCGCCGCCCGCTTTCCCGCTGCCTCGACGCTCGTTCTTTATTTTGTTTGGCATAATTTCGCCATTTCGCCGATTAAACCTTTGTTTTCAGTTCACTGTTCGTCCTCTCGTCCACTTTCATTGGTGACAATATTAACCTAAACTTTATCTGCAGAGCTCCCCGACGTCTTAGGCCCATGTTGCGTCAAGCTGCTTCATGAGTTTGTTTTCATTTCCGTCTTTTATAAAAAAAACTTGAACTTTTTGTAGCGAATCGCCAATTGGTCACATTCAATACACAATAAAAAAAAAATATTTTTAACGTAACAAGGAGTTCTAAAGTGCCGTTCACACGTATGCGACCGAGTAAGACCGAGAGAGACCAGACCGGTCTTTAAGCCTCTTACGACGTCTTAGGACCCGCTCCGCAGTAGCGCATCCGGTCCTAAGAGGTCGCAAGAGGCTTAAACACCGGTCTCGTCTCTCTCGGTCGTACTCCGTTGTAAATGTGTGAACGGCGCTTAAGAGGGTCGACAAAGACCAGAAATGATGCAGTTCTTAATGAAGTCTCGTGCCAGGCCTAAGTGTGGAACCAAAAGTACTTGACACTTTTCCAGCAAAGGCAACATATTACAGTACTTACCCCCTCATTGGAAGGTTGTCGTCTGAGCCTACGCAGATATTGCCTTTAAATTACTGATAAAAAGGTTAATAATTGCAGTACAGACAGTATATGTTATGTTCATGAAACATCATTTGATGCTTCTCTTTCTTTTAAACCTGAATTTAAAACCCAATTTGGCATAACCTCAAGAATGACAGAACTGTGATATTAATTTAAACCTTGAGAGTTATTTGTCTAGACAATTGAGCAAATACGAAGATGTATATGGTACCACAAATGTCTTATTCCCGTCTGAAAAAGCCTTCAACTGACAGACCAGCCTCAAGCAGATAAACACATAGAAATCGATATCTACAGAACGTTTCAGAAGGCACATTTTTTTCAAGTAATATCATAAGATATAAAGTGTCGAAAACTTACAGGTGTCCGATTTCATGAGAAAGGGCACTTGCTCCCTTTAAGGTGAGGCCTCCATCTTCTACAACCGCTACCTTATATTTAGTGCACATGGCCGCTACATAGGCTATGCCTAAACGAGATGCAAGAGACATGTTTTTAGTTATCTGAAGCATATGACTCATTTGATGTTTAGGCATTATTACATCTTTTATTAACAGTAAGTTTTGCATGGAAACTCGTTTTTCAGAGGTAACACCTTTTAATTATATTACTAGCAAACTAATGTTCTGTTCCCTTGTGT